GTGCTTGTCTGGCCAAGTTGGAGTAGGAGCCGGGCTTTATTTCTGTGCCTCCGTCCCTCGGGGGTGCGGGACTGTCTCTCCTTGCTGCAAGGTCTGTTCCTTTGGCAGGCTGTTCTGAGCATCTGTCATTCTTTAAGGAAGAGGATTCTGGACGACCGTGCTTGCGAAAGGTTAGGGGGCTGTTTATCCGCCCCTGATAAGGCAGTCCCTGTATCTGCCTCTGGGGAGCTGTTTTTCCGTCCCTGCTTTCTTGTGGGGCAGGGGGCATCTCTGTATCTGTCCTCATGGTATCCCAGCTACCTGGGGCCCTGGGGTGGAATCCAGACTTCCTGCTTGGCTATGCCAAGGCTGGGCTCCCTGGTTGGAGGCCTATTTCCTCTGATGTTCTCCAGGCTAGGAGCGCAGTGACAGTCAGCACCCTGCCCGCCTGGCTTGCGGCTGGGCACTGCTCCCTGCTAACGCAGCATGTACCAGGACAGGCCCCCCCGCACTCCCCTCCCTGTCCCAGCTGCCACCCCCAGCCCCTGTGGCCACGCCAGGCCTGATTTATGGTCCTGAGTTGGGACTGGACAGTGCCAGCGCCTGGGTCAGACCTTGAGGAGACCTCAAGTGGCACCCTTGGCCTGGCAGGGTCAGGGCCCAGGAGGAGATGAGGGGGAGCCAGGGTGCTGGGGAGGATGAACACAGCACGGGCCCAGGAGTGGCAGGCAGGAGGTGGAAACCAAGGCCAGGGCCTCCAGGGGCCCATAGGTTTCCCACCGGCTCCGAGTCCAGCCGGGGACCTGGAAATGTGCCTCCTGCCTTCAGAATGTCCCTGGCTTGTGTGGAAAAGGAGACATTGGGGAGTGAAAAGGGCTTTTCCTCTGCTTTGCACTGCCTCCTTCATGTACCCACCATTGGAGGCTGGAGGTTTCAAAGTCCCACTGGCCAGCCTAGGCCAAACCAGACAGTCTCCAGCCTAGGGCGCAGGAAGAGGCCTGAGAGCCTGAAGCTGGAGCAGGGATGCAGGCAGAGGTTTGGGGCAGAGACTGCAACCCAGAGCTGAGCACTGGCTGCCCCAGGTAAGACGGTACAGCTGCCCCCTGAACTATAAGGCTGCAAGGCCAGACCCCTGCAGAGCTGGATGCCAGATAGACAGAGGTCCCCCCCTTCAACCTCATCTTCCAAGGAGGCCCAATGGCCCTGGGGCTCTGCTACAGTCAGGGACTTGTGAGAGAGGGGCTGGGGCTCGTCCAGATGTCTAAACTAAAGCTCTCTTAGGATCCCAGGTCCAGCTCACACAAGGCTGCCCAGCACTGCCTCACCAGGGCATGACTCTGATGTGCCTGGCACAACTGCCTCATGGCTGCAAAAGGATGTCACTGGTGATTGTCCAGGGACCACACAGCGGCCACCTGCCTCTGATGAGTCTCTCTCAGGCTGCCCTCTGCAGCAGCAGAGCTGCCGCCACACAACTGAACATGCTGGGTGCTCAGAGCGGACCATGTGGACAGGACACCCCATTACAGCACAGTCACCCATGACCTTCAGGAGCTTCTCACCTCCTGGAGGCTGATCCTTGCCACATCCCTCCATAACCAAGACCAGGTGGCTGGAACCCAGGTGTGGGGCAGCTTCCTCCACACTGGCCTCAGGGAAGGGCTACAGGCAGAGACCCCCCCCGGAGTGCAGAGCTCCCCCTCAGTCCCTAGACCTCAAAGCCACCCCTCCGCAGTCACAGTGGCACCTCAGGGCTGGGGAGGGGGCCAGGGACCTCTGGGCACTGGGCCCAGCGTGGGTGGGGTGGGGGAGACAGAGAGGCAGGCTTCCTGGGTCTCCGCGTGAGGACAAACAGCAGACTTTGAGGCCTCGGAAAATCCCGCCTGGGATTCCAGGCCCTGCCGGCGTCACTGCCTTTTGACTATTGTCCCCGTCGGAAATGGGCCCAGCCCCCGGCCAGCCTGGACAGAGCAGCCATTGTGAGGCCCCATCAGGCTCAATGCCCCCTTGTTTGCCCTCCCATCCCATAGCAAGAGTTGGAGGCCAGTTCTTCCAGTTGCTGAGTGGAAAGAAAGGGCCTGCCTCCAGGCTCCAGCCCTTGGGCGGGGCAGGGTGGGGCAGGGTGGGGCTGGAGGAACCAACCCCCAACCCTGTACCCTAATTGTCAGGGTCCTGAAAAGGAACGACCATCAATGGAGCTTCTTATTTTCGAGGCCCTGGGCAGGGAGACCTAGTGGCTAAGTAGCCAGACGCACCCGGCTCGGCTACTCACAAGCCAGGTGACCTTGGGAAAGTCATATCCTTTCTCTGAAATGAATTCTCCTCTTTTGTAAAAACAATAGCTAATATTTATTTGGTGCTTGCTGTGTGCCAGGCACTGTAAAAAACACTTTGTATGTATTCACTTCTGTAATCCTTATAGCAACTTTGTAAAATAGATTCAATTTGTTTTCTTATTTCTAGGTGAAAACACTGAGGCACAGAAAGGTTAACAAACTTGCCCCAAATCACACAGCTAGTAAGAGCTGGAGCCAAGATGTAAACCCAGGCCTCGGGCTCCAGGGTCCTTGCTTTCGCCACTCTCCCATGGTGCCCCTATGAAGTGGGAATAGCCAGGCTGTCCTCATGGGATGGCAGCTAGGGCTGGAAATCACAAGCATCTGATGAAAAGAATCTGCCAGCGTGGACCCTAATACCGGCTAACCTCATCCAGAGATATGGAGATGCTCCCTCGGCCCCACTCCACCCCCAGCCCTGGCCCCTCCCTGAGCATCTGAGCAGCCCTCTTGCCTTCCCCAGCGGCCTGTCCTGTCCTGTCCCTACATCTGTCTGTGCTAAAGGCAGGGAGCTGGAGTCAAGTGACACAAAGGAGGACTTGGTCCAGCCGGCCGGCGGGAGATTTCCCAGCAAGCTCTGCTCCTAACCAGCCTCACCTCCCCACTGAACAGATGGGAAACCGAGGCTCGGTGAGGAGGAGGGCCTTCTCAGAGAGCAGCATGGAGTTGGAGGCAGGCTGCAAACAGAAGCCTACCTACTGATAGCCTCGTGTCATCAGGTGCGGGCGCAGCTGACAAAGCCTCGCTCAAGGGTCTGGGGCTGGGTGGGGCGATGCCAGGGATACATGTTTGGAAGTCCACAGCACTGCTGGGAGCATGTCCCAGGGTCGGGGCCATGGTCTCCCTACCCCAGCCTCATGTGGACTCTTCAGCAGGCCTGAGGCTGGACTGTGCTCCCAGAACCCGAGTGAGGGCGTGTGGATGGGGGCTCCATGCAAGCTGTGGCTGGAGCACTGGGGAAGGCCCTTCTCACCCCTATCCAGTCGAGAGCCCTATTCTGTCTGGCCCCATCCAGTAAGAGCTGCCCCTCAGCCAGCCAGTTCCCAGGGACCATGGAGGTGGAGACTTGGGGGTCCTGAGCCAAGGGCTATGAGGAACATGTGTGAGGGTACTGCCTTCAGGCCTCCTACTGGGTCCTAGAGAAGGAAACAGTGAGGCTGGGCGAGCACTGAGCACAGGAAGGGTGCCATGCCCTGCATGGTGACCAACTCCTGTGGGCCTCAGGTTAGGTCCGTCTGGGTCTGTTTCTTAAAAGGGTGGCCCCAGGCTACCTGCATTACAAGCACCTGGGTACTTCCTAAGACTGAAGTTTCGTGGGCCCCCTCGCCTCCCCAAATCTGAGTCTTTGGGGGTAGATCCCAGGAATCTGCATTTTAAGCCAGCTGACTAAACAACTGATGAGCCTGGGGGGTTGGAGGGCCTACGTGGGGACACGGGCACAGGTAGGGACTTCTTGCCAAGAAGGTGAGGGCCACCAGATCCCTGGATCCTCTTGTTGGGGTGGCAGGAGAGTGGGGAGGAATGTTGAGATATGATGGAATAGCTTAAAAACTGAAATACCAAGGCCGTCCGGTGGCTCCGACCTGTAACCCAGCACTTTGGGGAGGCCGAGGCAGGCGGATCACGAGGTCAGGAGATGGAGACCATCCGGCATAACACACAGTGAAACCCCCTCTCTATTAAAATACAAAAAATAGCCAGGCGTGGTGGCGGCGCCTGTAGTCCCAGCTACTCCAGAGGCTGAGGCAGAGAATGGTGTGAACCTGGGAGAGCTGGAGCTTGCAGTGAGCCGAGATCACGCCACTGCCAACTCCAGCTGGGACAGACGAGGACTCCGTCTCAAAAAAAAAAAAAAAAAAACACTGAATACAACAGCTACTACCAATTTGGGCCTTTAAACTCAGCCCATGCTAAACATTACACACACACTCCTCTGATCCTAAAAGCTCTGTGAGGCTGGGGTCTATTTCCTGTTTAATGGATGTGGAAATCAATAATCAGAGAATAATGTGTCCAGATAGGAACGTGACAACCCTGAGATCTGCGGCAAAGTATATTGCTAGGGTCTGCAGTACCCCTGGGCTAGTCCGCACTGCAGGCCCTGCATGAAGCCAGGCATGTCTAGTGGAGGCTTCCCATGTGTTAGAATTAGTCTAAGGTGCTTTGCAATAACAAACTCGTGAGCAGGTGTCATTATTTTTTTTTTTTTTTTTTTTTTTTTTTTTTTTTGAGACGGAGTCTCGCTCATGTCGCCCAGGACTGGAGTGCAGTGTGCGCCAGCATCTCGGGCTCACTGCAAGCTCCGCCTCGCGGGTTCACGCCCATATCTCCACGCTAGCTCCAGTGCTGGGACTACAGGGCCCAACCGCGCTCCCGGCTCTAGTTTTTTTTGATTTTTTGTAGAGGACCGGGGTTTCCACCATGTTAAGCCCAGGATGGGTCTCGATTCTGACCTCTGATCACCCACGCCCATCGGCCCCTCCAAAGTGCTGGGATTACAGGCTTAGCCACCGCCGGCGAGGCATTGTTCCATTTTACCCATTGTATTTACAAATACGTACACTGAGGCCTGACAGCTCAGACTGGTAACATCCAAGTTTCATCTTGAGCGACCCATCTCTTATGTAATGATGAGGTGTGTCTGGTGGGGGAGTGGGGAGCGGGCATCAGAGACAGACTGAATCCCAGTTCCAGCTACATGTCTATTTTTTATTCAATATATTAAATATATTAATCAGAAAAGTCACATACTATAAATCCAGGAAAATACACAAATATAAATGTCAGAATCTGTCATTTGTCTTCTTCCTAGAGTGACAGTTTATGTACATGTGGAAGGAGGGTAGGAAGAGAGAGCCAGCAAGAGGCTGGAAAGGCTGCCCAGGTGGGTGGGGCCCATCCCTTCCTCCCAACCCCACTCCCACCTCAAGCTCTTTCTTCCTGTATTTACAGCAGCACTGGGCTTATTTACAGCACGGCGCTATGTGTTAAAAACGGTTTATCTTACAAAAAACATAAAGGCCAGGGCCAGGCTGGGGGAATAAGACAAATCGTGGGGTCACCCCCATGAATGCATCCCCTCCCCAAGGGCTTGAGTCCCTGCCAACCTCCTGGAGCAGGTGAGAAGGTGGAGTCATTCTGCAGCGCAGGCCCAGGCTTGGGGGTGCTCTGGGGGTCCGTGGACTAAAGGCACGTGGGGTGGCGTATGAGAGTGCACATGTGCACACGTGTTCCCAGGCGGGGGTCAGAAGGGCAGCGTGTCCATGAAGATCTTGTCGATGATGGGTGGAGGGGGCACCAAGTCCTCCAACTTGAGGTAGAATATACGCTGCAGGCCCTGGGTGCACAGGGTCCGGAGCTCGGGCAGTTTGCCCAACAGACGTGACAGGCAGCGGGCCGGCTGGGGCTCGCCCGCCACAGCTGCCACGTGCTCCTTCAAGCAGCTGGCGATGCGGTTCTGCAGCTCCTCCACCCGCCGCGGCTCCTGCAGCCCATGCCGGTCTGCGGGGAGTGTACAGGATTAGTCGCACATCTGACAACCAGGCCCCCAAAGCCCCAGCCTCCCCAGGCCCCTAAAACTGCTGCCCCGACCACCCCTCAGGCTCTGCTGGCACTTCACAAAAGCGCGTTCACATGTTGGCCATTAGTAAGCATCATCACAAGTCTGAGAGGCAGTAACCCTCATTATCCTCATACTCCAAGTGAGAACCCAAGGCCCAGGAGGCTAATGACTTGCCCAGGGTCACAAATGGGAAATAAAATCCTAACCGAGGTTTTCCGGCTAGATCATTGGGTTTTTAAAATCTAGACTGTTCTGAGAAACTCAGCCTCAGAACTCAACACCCCTCAGCCCAGAGTACCTCTGATTGTGTTCTATATAGTTGGGTCCCCTGTGCAATTTAAGTGAAAAAAGGAACGAGGGTGGATTCTTTCCTTTAAAAAACAGAGATCTGAAAACCTCTGCATTCAACACCAGATTCCATCCTGCAGAACTACATTTACATAAAGTCCAAAACAGGCACAGCCAATCTGATCTGCACTGTCAGAAGTCACAGTGAAGGGCTGGGCGTGGTGGCTTATGCCTGTAATCCCAGCACTTTAGGAGGCTGAGGCAGGAGAATAACTTGAGCCCAGGAGTTTGAGACCAACCTGGGCAACATAGTGAGGTACCATCTTATTTTTTTAAATTTTTAAATAAAAAGTAGTGGTTACCCTTGGGGAAGGCAAATGACTGGAAGGGGCATAATAATGGGTTCTGGGGGGAAGTTATGTGCTCTTTCTTGACCAAGGCGCTGGTTGGGTAAGTGTGGTTTATAAAAATTTACCATTTGTGTACTTTTCTATATGCAGCAAAATTGACAGGAAGGTTTTCAAAACAAGCCAATACCCTTGGCCGGGCGTGGTGGCTTACAACTGTAATCCCAGCACCTTGGGAGGCAGAGGTGGGAGGATCATGAGGTCAGGAGATCGAGACCATCCTGGCCAATATGGTGAAACCCCATCTCTACTAAAAATACAAAAAACTAGCCAGGCGAGGTGGCAGGCACCTGTAGTCTCAGCTACTCGGGAGGCTGAGGCAGGAGAATGGTGTGAACCTGGGAGGCAGAGCTTGCAGTGAGCCGAGATCACGCCACTGCACTCCAGCCTGGGCGACAGAGCGAGACTCCATCTCAAAACAACAACAACAACAACAAAAAAACAAGCCAATACCCTAGGCCACATACATGACACCTGCAGTCTAGATCCTGGCAGTCTGGGACCAAAGGCTGTCTTGGGCTTTAGAGCTGGATGCAGCTGAGCCCATCTCCAATTCCTATGGTCCCTACTTTACTGTTGGTATGAGCCCAGGGCAGTGCAGGGGCCCAGAAAGTGCTAGATCCCAGCTCACCAAACTCCCTGGGACAGTGCCCTCCTGAGAACCAGTCAACTCCCTGACACCCACTCCCTTGGACCTGGTGTGGTGCTGGTCACTCACCGGTGATGAGGACAAGAGCAGAGAGGCAGGCGAAGGCAGGGACATCGACAACCAAGCTGTGCAGGGACCTTGAGAAGGCCAGGATGCTGTCAATCCAGTCGCCGAAGCCACGGGCACACTGCAGCCGGTGTAGCACCAGGCCTGAGCAGAAGATGAGCTTGCCCTCTCCTGGCTTAGACCTGGCAGGCAGATGGGCACGAAGAGCGATCAGGGTGGTTCACAGGCAGGTGTATCAGGGAAAGGGGCTGGGCAGACAGTCGGCAGCTCTCACCTGTATGCCAGGCGGAGGATGAAGAGCTCCAGGAAGGCTGACTCCAGCAACAGGTCCTGGTCAGCTGGTGACAGCTCAGCAAAGCCAGGGATCTTCTCCGCCCACTTGCGGATGACCTCCAGAGAACCGGAGAGCAGGTCGTAGAACTGCTGTACATCCCCAGCATCTTCCTTCCCAAAGCGGGGCAGCACCAGCTCCTGAAACTAGGAGGATGGTCCAGTGGGGTCAGCACCCCAGGCAGGGTCCTGCACCCACTGCCACATACGGCTGTGTCAGACACTTGGATGCCAGATCCTGGGGGTGGGAGTGGATGTGAGATCCTGCCCAGGCTCTCGCTTGCCAAGTCTCACATATTAACCCAGGGCTGCAGCTGCCAACACGACACATTTTTCCTTTTTTTTTTTTTTTTTTTTTTTTTGAGACGAAGTCTCGCTCTGTCTCCCTGGCTGGAGTGCAGTGGCCAGATCTCGGCTCACTGCAAGCTCTGCCTCCCGGGTTCACGCCATTCTCCTGCCTCAGCCTCCCGAGCAGCTGGGACTACAGGCGCCGCCACCTCACCCGGCTAGTTTTTTGTATTTTTTAGTACAGACGGGGTTTCACCATGTTTGCCAGGATGGTCTCGATCTCCTGACCTCGTGATTCACCCGTCTCGGCCTCCCAAAGTGCTGGGATTACAGGCTTGAGCCACCGCGCCCGGCGGGACACATTTTTCTAATTGGCCACCTGCCTGAGGGGTTGCATTTTCCCATCTGGTCAGCCCAGAGGGGGCTCCTCTCTTTGATCTATCAAACCGGAGGGGGTAGCTTTTCTTTCTTTCTTTTTTAAACTTCCTTTCTCATTCTATCCTTCTGGAGGGGACAGCTCTCCTAACATGCACAAAGGCACTGCATGTGCTCATAGCCCTCCCCGAGGCAGGCACGGGGTGGGACCTCACCTTGGAGTAGTCCAGTTTGGCAGTGCTGGGCCCTGAGTCCAGGTGTGCACGGACCAGGGAAGTGAGGAGATTGGCAGGGGAGGCATCTGGAGGCTGCTTGGGTTTTGAAGGTAGCCGGCCCCGCCGCCCCTTCAGGCTGTCTGTTCGGACAACTGCAAAGGAACGGGTAGGGGTGAGGAAGGAAGGGATCTGAGGAAGGGCCTCTCAGCCCAAGCCGCACACACCACTGCTGAGATGCGCCCCACCGAGTCCCTAGGACCCAAAGCCCCTGAGATCCAAGGTACCCTACAGGGACCTCCCCCTGCCACCACCCTCACAATCCAGGCAGGTGTAGGCTGCCTCCCTCCAAGGCCTGGGGTTCAGAGATGGGGTGGAAATAAGACGTGCCCTCCCCTGGGTCATCCAGGGCAGAAGCCTGGGGACCCTGCTGGTCCCACTCCAATCAAGCCTACCCTTGCCCCGCTGGGCTGCACCCCAGCCACATACCTTCCTTCACCATGCCCACCGCCAGGCACTTCTGGAAGCGGCAGAACTGGCAGCGGTTTCGCCGCCTCTTGTCCACAGGGCAGTCCTTGTTAGCCAGGCAGATGTACTTGGCGTTTTTCTGCACTGTGCGCTGGGTGGGGGGGCAACACGGAACAGGCTGTCAAGAGTGTGGGGTGGGGAGGGGGGAGCCTAGGGGAGAGGACTGTCCAGATCCTGCTGCCATTGCAGACAAAAGCACTCTCTGTTCACAGCTATTTTTCTAACATTTGGGTGGCAAGGGAGGGAGAGCTAGGGAGTTGGGGGGTAGAGAAAAGTCTTGAAGACATTGGGGGAGGTTTCTCCCTCTGAGGAAGACCCCAGGACACAATATCGGGGACCAGGGTCTCTCCGGCAGTCCAGACACCTGTATTTTTTCATGGGCTCTTGTCCGCCTGCCCTCTCCCTAGGGCAGACAGGAGAGGGCCAAAGGGCTGGGGGTGGGGACGGGAAGTTAAGCAGGCACCATCGCTGGGACAAACACACAGCCTGTTCCCAAGTCCACCCCTAGTCCTCAGGAACCAAACCCTCCGCCGGGATCCTTTCATCTCACGCCAGGAACATGAGAGCGTGAGGGCACCCCTTCCCACTAGAACCTTGAGTTGGGGGAGGACAGGCAGAGAAAAACCAGAGGCTGGCCAGGCACCCCTGCAGCCCATATCTGCCCATATCTCACCCCTCCCTCCAGCTCTGTGCAATCCCATGGGCCCCTGAGTGTCCTGTCGAATGAAAGCTTCCAGCCCTGGCATCTATGGGTCTCCAGGAAGGCGGCCCACCTGGCAGGGCTGACCCCATCCTGCAGGACAGAACTTAGCTGGGAGGAGAATCCAGGGGGTGACCACAGGTCCCAATGGGATGAGAGGCCAGCCTCTCTTCATTTCCAACAAAAAGCCCCACCCGGGGCCGCGCAGTACCTTGAAGAAGCCCTTGCAGCCCTCGCAAGTGCGGACACCATAATGCTGGCATGACGCGTTGTCCCCACACACAGCACAGCGGCCTTCAGTTCCACCTGGGGCCCCGCTCCGGGTCTTGGTTGAGGTCACGGGTGCATCCAGTATCCCCGAGCCCTCAAGGTGTGGAGAAGTGGGTGCCAAACCTGGGAAGGCGGTTGGCATGGAATAGCTCTCTCCCTCCCCCAGCTGGTGGGTGGCCTGTGAGGGGAACAACTTCAGGGGGCTCTGGGCCAGGCTGGGGCTGGGACCGGTGGGAGGACTGAAGGAAAAGAAGGTTGGAGGCTGTGGGGGCCCAGACGCTTTGGGCAGCTGCTCTGTCCATGCCCGCAGGCCTTCGTAAGTCTGGCTGGGCGAGAAGTGGCCGAATGAGCCATCCCAGGGAGAGAGCTGGGGCGGCTGGAAGCTGGGCGTGGACGGTGATGGGGCCGAGCAGGGGCTGCCATAGTAGTCAGAGCCACTGGAGGACAGGGCCTCATCCACTGGGCCGCTCAGGGGGCCGGGGTAGCAGCCGTACACCTGGAAGTCCTCAAATTTGAAGGAGGCAGAGGCAGGGGAGGTGGCTGAGGACGAGGATGTGGAGGAGGCCGAGGAGGAGGCTGAGGAGCATGGCTGGACTGTTCCCGGCAGCTGGTAGAGGAAGGTGTCAAACTCTCCTGTGTAGCCGTCCATGAAGGTGCTGAAGCTGGGCAGGGCAGTGGGGGCAGCGGGGGCCGCCTCAGGGCTGGCCAGGTCCATGGTGGGCTTGATGAACTCAGGGGTCAGGGGGTCGCTTGCCAGGTGGTCACGGGGTCCTGGACTCGGTGCTGGTGTCCCATATTGGGCTTGGATACAGGGCATCTCTGGAGAGAGAGGAGACCCCAGGGAGGGAAAGGAGAGTCAGTGAGAGAAGCCTATAGCTTGGTCTCAAAGTATTTGGGCCCCAGAGCAGCAAGGTGGCAGGAATCCCAGCCTAAAGATGGGACAGAGGCATCAGGACCAGAGCACCCAGGAATCCTGACCCCTGGCCTGAGTACCGTCTCGACTTAGATGCCACAAAGCCCCTGGGCAGCGGCCCAGCATGAGTGGGCTCCGTCAGAAGGCCAGCCACACCCTAGTCAGCCTGGGAACCCTAGGGGAGGCATCCAGCCAGCATTTCTCTGCTGGAACAGGGGGAAGCTGTGTTCCTCTAGCCCCCTGACCCTCCCGCCCCCCCGCCCGGGGAAGGCGTGGTGGGGGCTGGGAAAAGGGTGAGTGGGAGAGGCAGCTCAGCAAAGCCTCAGCCCAGCTCCCAGCAGCAGCTCCCTGGGTTGTTTCGCCAACCAGGCACTTCCTGGGAATACTCCCAGGCACATCCTAGCCTCTGCAAAGCCCCTTTTCTCCTCCCCTCGCAGTGCCTAGGAAGAAAGACATCGTGGAAATGGAAGAGGAGCTGGGAGTGAAAGCCCAGCTGCCTAAGAAGGGAAGCCACTCTGCACTGCCCAAGATGCTCCCAGAAGCAAAGAGGAAGGCAGCCTAGGCCTCCTCATCGGTAACCTGGCTCCAGACCTTTAAAGGCCATTTGCTGGGGACAGGGGAAGGGGGAGGAAGGAGACCACAGCCCCCTGGACTCCCAGGAGAATGGACAACAGTACCTAAAAAGAATGTTCTGCTGCCCTCAGTTATTTTAATAAGAGAACTGTGAGAGTCCAGCAGAAGACTTAAGGTGGCTGTGCAGGAAGGAGAAGCCTGCTGGTGGGTGGGTGGAAGACATTCGGCCCCTCCACTAAATCGGGGTCTGTGCCCTGAAGAATCCAGGGGCTCAGGCAAAGGGGGTTACACACCCCCAGTCCCAAGGAGCCTGAAGAGAGCCTGAACAGAGATAGCATCATTCAGGTAGATCCTCAGATTCACAGAATGGTCAAAAAATAATGCAGAGGAGGCTCCAGGACAGTCTCCCTCCCAACCTCCATGTCTGGGGTCTGCATAACTCCGGCCTCACCAGTCAAGGAGGGAAGCTGGAGAAGAAATCAAGCAGGAACAGAGAGTACCATAATCAAGGGGTGCAGGGATGGGGGTAAAGCCTGTCACCACCTCCTGGCCAAGAACCCAGGAAGTCCTCTCTGGTTCTAGCCTTTCTTCTAACTCCACGGGCCCTGAACAGGGCACCTCCACCCCTAGCCTGACATTCATATAACCAACCAAGACAACAGAGACCCTCGTAGCTCGGGCCCCATTCACCCAGTGGCACCAGTCCACAGGCATGCAGCACCCTGCAAGAGGTGAGGGTGGCCACATCTGCCTGCACTAGGACAGCCTGGGCAGGGATGGGCTGGGGGTGAAGGAGGAAAGACAGCAGTTGGGCAGAACTGGGCGTTCGTTCCTGCCTTATTCAAATCCTGTTTCTCCACCTGGACGTCCCACATCCGGATCAACCCCCATCAATCCCTCCCCCTTCATGCAGGTTCTTAACAATACAAGATACGACCTACATCTAGCCTCATGGGAAGGGGGAGCAGTCCCACAGGAGGAGGAAGAGGCGGGGTTGAAGGAGGGAGTGGGGAGAATCCGGCTTCAGGCAGGTCCTGGCAACAATGTGGCTTGCACCTGTTCTGCTGAACAAGCCTCAGGCTGCACCCTACCTATAAGATCCAACAGGGACTACTGAGGGAGGGGGCATAGCGATGATCCGCATCTGGAGCTGGAATGGTTGGGAGGTATCCTCTAGGCAGCACTGCCCCAAGACTCCAACACTGGCAACTTCTATCCAGGATCCCCAAGGACAAGGGTTTCCACCTCTCTTTGTCTGTCTGTCTGTCTCTTTCACACACACACACACACACACACACACACACACACAGACACGATCCAAGCCCCAGCGAAATCAATCCTCCCTGTGCTTCCAGAGACCCTGCCCCTGATCCCAAGAAGTCTCCTTTATTCAATACAGACCAAGCAGCTCTCCACAGCTCAGTCACCAAGCCAGTCACTTCCTTCAGTGATCCGGAGGCTTCCTAACGCACCTCAGACAGAAAGTTCAGGGTGGGGAACCCCTGCCAACTCAGCCACAGCTGAAAACAACTGGGGCACTGGGAGGGGGCTGACAGGCTGGGAGGAAGAAGAGCCTTTCGGAAACCCAATCCCAGTTGGAGTCGTATGGATCCCCAGCAGCACCAAAGCTCTGTGTACCTGTTCCCCCACGGTGTTGTGATCCCCATCCACACCCACCCAAGTTCAGAGCACCGTGCGCCCAGTTGGGCACCCTAGGAGACTGAACTAAGGCCAGCCGCCTGCTGGACAAGTCCCTACGCCCGGCGCCAACCCCAACTCCCTGTGGCTTCCACCTTGCAGGTAGTCAACCTCCCCTACCTCCTACTGCGCACCCCGTAGTTTCCAGTTTGACCTGGGTTCTTATCCCGTTGCACTAGAGCTGCACACTACACCCGCCCTCCTGCATGCTGGCCCTACAACATCCTTTCTGCCCGCGTGTACACCCATCTCCCTCATGCACCACCCCTAAAAACAGATGCACATTCCCCGAAGGGAACCTACCCGGCCGGCTCCCGCTGCCCCTGCCCGGACCGGCGCCCCGAGTCCCAGCCTGGTCCCTGGTCCCGTGTGCGCTCCCGAAGTTCTTCTGTGCACTCCCCCAACTTTCGCAGCCTCAGCCACTGGGACTCCCCGGGCGAGCCCGACCCTCCTCTTAAGCGCTCCGTGACGCACGGGGAGGGGCGGGGGCGCCACTGACGCAGGCCGCCCGGCGAGCTTTGGCCATACAAGGGCGCGGGGGGCGGTGCGGTTCCGGCGGGAGGCGGCCAGGGGGAGGCGCGGCCCGGGGAGCCCGAGGGGGCGGGGCGAGGAGGGGGGGCCTGGAATGTCTGCGCGCGTGACGCACGCGGGGTTCCATTGACGCAGGGAGCGCGGATTGTTTGATCTATAAATAGGCTCCTCGCGCCCGCCGCGCCCGCTAAAAATAGCAACTCCCAGGCCCACTAGGCTCCCCGCACCGGACCCGGGTCCCAGCTGGGGGCCCCCAGGTCCAAAATAACCAGCGGGAGGGCCAGCGCCCGAGAAGGGGCGCTGTAGAGACGCGGCCGTGGGGCTTCCCCGGACGAGGATCTCCTCACCCTCCAGCTGCTCCTGGGAGCCAACCGCGCCCGGTCCCTCTGGCTCCCTCCGAGCCCAGCCCCGCCTTTGCACCTTTCTGGAGCCCTAGGGTGTCGCTGCTGCCGCTGCTGGGCGGTCAGGACAGGCCGTAGGCTGGGACAGGCAACTTGGACACACCCTGGGGAGCCTGCGCCCTCACCTCAGCCCTAGGCGCAGCTAGTGCACAGGACGCGGCTTCACCAGCAGGATCTCAGGCTGAGAGGCTGCCCCTGAGACGTCAGAGCCCCCTCTTAGTCCCTCCAGGCAGTCTCCCTACACAGGACCTTCCGGAGGGCACTGGTTGGCCAGGCCCAAGCTCGGGCCAACAGCTCCGGCTCCACTCCACAAGCTGAACTTGGTTTCGCACCGTCCCTTCCCCAGCCCCTTACAGGGGGAGTGCACCCTACTTGGGAAATTACCGAATTTCAGAACCGGGTGGAGCCTGAGAAATCTTTTCAAACTTGTGCGAACTCTTCCCCATTTTATAAATAAACAGGCTCAGAGAAATAATGGCACTTGCTGAAGGTCACACAGCCAAGTGGTGGCACACGGGTGGAACCCAGGGCCACAGACTGCATCTCTAGGGATCTCTCCACGCCTCCTATCAATCCCCCTCCCCCTATCCACATCAGAGAGCACCGGCAGCTCTGACCAGTCATCACCTGCCCGGTGGAGTGCGGAACAGCCCGCCAGGGCCCTGCTGGGCACAGACCAGGCTTCAGTCACCTGGAGCTTTCCCTGGTTTGGCCGTCACCCGTCCACCCTGATCTCTCCTGAGCCTGGGAAGCCCTCATGGCAAGGTAAGAGAGGGAAGGGAATAAAAAAAAAAATAATAAAAAAAAAAACAACCCACAAGGAAAAGAGAGCCCTGCCACCCCACTGCGACCCCCAACCATTCCCCTTCTTCCCATGTAAGTCAATATCCATGAGTTTCTGCTTCCACTGAGCCTGCACCCACCCACCCTGTTCTCACCTCATCTGGTCACCCCATAGGACTTCCTCTGCCCCGAGGCTCTGCCTGCTCCTGATTTCCGCCCTCAACCCCCATCACAGGTTTCCCACACCCTCGTCTCCAGCCCCCGCTTCTGCCCACTCAAAGGTCCCACAAGCACCTCAAATTTCAGCTGTTCCAGACAGAGCCTGTCATTTCTGCACCTCCTGCCTGCCACCTAATCTCTGCTCCTGATGCCCCATTTGCAACTCTTCATTGTTTCCTGAAATTCTTTTTTGGAACATCTCTTGGGTCCTTTCCTCTCCCCATTTTTGTTTTGTTGTTTTTGAGATAAGGTCTTGTTCTGTCGCCCAGCCTGGAGTGCAGTGGCACGATTATGGCTTACTGCAGCCTCGACCTCCCAGGCTCAAGCCTCTTGCCTTGGCTTCCCAAAGTGCTGGGATTACAGGCATAAGCCACTGCACTCAGCCTCTCCCACTTTCCTACTGCCAGCCACAGCCCATGCCTCACTGGTCCCACAGACCAACTGCCTGTGCGCAGTGACCACTCCTTGCCCACACCCATGAAGACTATCCAGTAGCCTGCCTATCTTCTCTTTCTAAAGCCTCACTGTCTTCATACAGTTGGAGCAGTCTTCATACAGTTGACCCTTTAACAACACGTTTGAATTGTGTAGGTCCACTTATATGGGGATTTGGGGATTTTTTCAATCCAACATGGATCCAAAAACCCACATATACAGAGGGCCGACTTTTAGTATCTGCAGGTTCCACAGGGCCAACAGTG